GTGTGCAGAGAAAAGTTGTCATTTGTGCTGGGAAATTTTGGGATTTTTACTTGTGCACGGACCATGCTACCTGCCATCATCGCCCATCCGTGGCGATGGCCCCGCAATATTGGTGTCCGCACTGGTCCAACTGACTCGGAGGGTATTTATTGTCTATGGATAGTTGACGACAACGTCTAGTCCCTAATAAATAGGAATATAGAGCGTTTAACCATGCTCTTGATGTCCGCATCCGGTTTGTCCGAGTCGCTTTGGCTTACGAAGAAGGCCCCCCCTCTCCTGTAGCTGGTTGGTACTCTATGATGAGCTCCCGACAAAGGAGGATAAAGTCCGCCAGTTCCTTACTTTGTGTCGACAGCACACATTGCGCTGTGTGGGCATCCATTTCACCTCTGTGTGAGGCGAGAAATACCACCGACAAGGGCCCACAGTCTCCCTGCCCGCGATTCGGAATCGCCTTGTACACGTCTCTCCACGAGCAAAGGCCAGGATCGAACATCTTCTTCGAGGTCTCCACCAGGCTACGGGATTTCAGCAGTTGCCTTTGACGCCTACGTTTGTTCGTCCCTTGGCTCCCCATCTATCACCTACGGCGTTAACGTGCCAACATGTTGTTAAGGCTACATCTTCTACCACAAACCAGTAACCACTAATCTAAGCTATCTTTCGTGTTGTGTTTCGCATGATCACTTAATAATTATGTGGCGAGCAGACTTACACATCGTATTCTGAACGGTTGGAAGACTCCTGTACCTTCTTGTCAAGTTGACCTCAGAAATGTCTCCAAGACGCGGTTTGTTATCCAAACGGAGAAGAAAATAAGCCGGACTCCCTCCTTCCCCTTGGTACAGTATATGGATATACCAGTGGAGACTATGTTGCGGCTGGGGGGGTGGTATCTTACGACCAACGCATGTGCTGGACGTAAGCGTATGCATACCGCACCAAACATGTGCGCAATATCCTGTCCTATATAGAGGGACATGATTCACGCGGGAAAGCATACCGTATTCTACACAAGATACCACACCCTCATAAGATACCACACCCCCCCCACAATACCACACCCCGGTGGTAATTTTGGGTGTATTTTTCAGACCATGATTTATCACCGGGGGTACACAAGATACCACACCCCGGTGATAAAAACACAGGTTACGCCGCATACATTCCCTGTCTCTATCACCGGGGGTGAAACAGCATCACACACGCACAGCTTGTACCGTACGGGGGGAGACATGGAGACCTCAGAGAACATGAACGTGCGGGAAGAGCAGAATGCCGCCCCAAGTACATCTGCTTCTCCCACGACTGCTTCGACCGCAGCAGCACAGGAGCTTTGAGGCATCGGTAGCGATACTTGTGTTGAGAAAAGCTCGTGTTGTCCTTCTCATTTTCTCTTGGCGCGCATTTCTCTCCTTCGTCGTCTTGGAGCGTGATTGCAATGTCGGCTGATTTCTTAGCCGTGTGGAGTGCAACGTTTGCTTGTTTCGTAGTGTAGGTTTGTGGTTCGGGGTCTCCGATGTGTACTGGCTTTGCTCAACTCTCTGTTGGCCGTACCTACCAGCAAGGTACGCAGCAGCCTGTTTTTTTTTGTGAGGGGGCAGAACGGATGGCGCACTTTGTGGCCATCCCCCGACATCATATCGGGCGAGGTACCTTCGATTTAAAATACCGTTTTCCGATGCTCCATCACGCCGTCACGATTGCTGACATACGGTACAGTGTGTGAACTTTCTTCGGCGTTGAGGGGGTTGAGTCATCGCCGAGGTCATGTGCCCAAGAGTTTCGTCAACCCCCTTGAGCCCCTTTTTGTGGTAGTGCAAAGCAGCGGCAAGTGTCGTACAGGCATTGCCATCACCCCCCCGCAATACCACACCCCTTCAGGGTGCGGCAGCAGCGGTTCAACTCCACAAGCAGTGTATCACACCCCCTTTTCATCACACCCCCGAACACATCTTTGAGTGTTTCGACGAGTTATCACACCCCCTGTTTATCACACACCCGAACACACTCTTTGGGTGTTCCGACGTGTTATCACACC